GATGAATTAGCTTTGCGTATGGGTTTGAAAATGTAAGAGAGAGAGAGCTTTCGCGCGAATGCTTTTAGACAAAATTTACTCTTTAGAAAATAATATAATTTCTGATTCTGGGTATAATGTCTATGAAGTAATTGTTTACATAAGATTATAAGATAAATAAAAAAAGGAAAATAAACGCTGAGAAATTCTGAACCAGGTTTTGATTTTTCGTTCGCAACGTCGTTGATACGGAAAAATATGTGTAGTTCATTTTTCTACCATATCTAATTTTTGATTAAGCAATCATAAAAATAATTGTATCCAAAGTAGATATTTTTTGTGGCCTGGTATGATAATGACATTCTTCGATGATCAGCAGTAGATCTATTTACCACTCTAAAATTTTATTATTATTGTTACTTTTAACTATCCAAATCTGGTTTTTATTTGATTCATAATAAAACTGACAGACCATTTGGGATTTTTTGTAAGATATTCGATAACTTTTTTGTTGCCATGGTAGCCTAGTGGTCAAGGTAATGAACTTGTGGCCGGCGTGTCATGAGTTCCAGCTTAATGCCGCTGAAGACCAGCAGTGTAGAGGGAATGATGAGCGTTAAATCTGGCGAGGCTCAAACGTCCTCCCATTGGCGTGGTGTGGAAACTTGGAGATGGTGGGTGCCAGCTCAGGTGTCGTCCTCGTCACTTAAACAAGATTCAAAATTATGATGCATGTCACCAGCAGCCCTCGTGTTGCTTTATAGAGCGCCAAAAAAGCACTCACTCGATAATTATTTTTTTTTATTCAGATAAACTTATATTAACGTTACGCGCTAAAAAGCTTCTTGAGGGTTATTGGCTATAGACCTCTTAATTTTGAATCATGGTCAAGTGACGAGGACGATACCTGAGCCAATTGGAGAATGTTTGAGCCATGGCAGATTTAACGTGCAGCGGCCCCTTATATACGGCGGGTCTTCAGCGGCACTAGGTTCGAACTCATGACACGCCAGCCACGAGGTTGTGACCTTGACCACTAGGCTTCCACTGCCCCTTAATTTTTGTATTAATAAGTGTTACAAGTTTTCTTGACAGTTTCGTTTCATATTCGGAATTTTAAATTTTGAGTGAAATGAACATGAACTTTTTAAAAAAATTAATTCCGAATTGCTATGATTTTTGGAACATTATTATGATATTTACACCAATGTTGAAGCAACAATTTTTTATATAAATGGAATTCTTTAGCGTATTCAAAATTGATTACAATTTCAGCTGATAGCAAAAGGAAATTATTATTTACATAAGAGTAATAAATATTACTATTAAGATTAAAAAATAAACATTTTCCTCTCTTTATAAAAAAAAAAATTCCTTTTCGTATTGTTAAACTCGGTATATGGATATTTCGGTTTTGTGGAAAAAACTCAGATATTATTTAAATAATATTATTTTAATATGACGAAAATTCTCTGAAATCTGGCATCACGAATAAATCAATTTCCAAAAAAATTATAGAGGTAGGTAAATACTAAGCAGTTTAAATATAGGGGATAATAGCCTTTGTTGCTCCATATCCCACAAAACCTGCAACTGTAATGTATATTTGAAATGATTCATATATTAGAATTTTTACACTGAACACATCATAGTTTTATTTTGTCAAATATTTCATATAATGTTGGGTATAATAGTATAGAAAATCACATCCCGATAGAAAAAGAATTTTCTTATATATCAAAGCGTTGAAAAATATCATTAATTAAATTTAACATTTTTAAACTTGAATTTTTTTTTTTTTAATATTGAACATTCTCATATTTTCGAACTTTTTTTAAAGACATTTGAAGAGAGAATAAATGTTTATAAATTTAAATTTATTTACTGTTTCCTAACCCGGAAAAACTCATTTTAAAGATAACTATATTAGATCTAGTAATAATTTGAATCACAACAATCCATTATGTTCTTTAAAAACAATAAGTACTAGATTCTTTTGTACACAATCCCCGTCTTACCAACCCTATAATTTCTTAAATATGTAAATATCCATCTACGTGCTTAACGATCGTAAAAAAAAAACTCAAAACAGAAAGTAATAAAAGTTCAAGGACATTGTTGAAAATAAGCGGATTCGCATTTATACTTCTTTTAAGGGGAATTTTTGAAGCAAATGATGTAAACAAGGTTTAGGAAGATTTTCCCTAGTAGATCATTTACAGAGATTTCATCACACTTTTGCAGACACTTGAAGTTTGTCCGAAAAGTCCGCAGAACATAAAAGAATAGATACGATCGTGTAATAACAGTTTATCTAATCATTTTTAATCTATTTCTCAATTTCCTTTCGAGAAAGTCTCGAGAAAGACTTAGAAAACATAGGTATTTTTTTTCCCTCGGGTTTGAAAAAAGTTGACGCTTAAGACTGCATTTTTTAAATATTTTAGATGCATGATTCGAATTGAACAATAATAGTTCACTGACCCTAGATATAAGAAAATAAAAACTTAACTCAGTGGCGCGACAGCTCATGATGGCCAAGGCCTACTGTGCCCAACTCAGTATACGCGATCATTGGCCCTGAGGTGCATGAGCAGATGTTCCGGTAAGGTGGTCAGTTTGAAGTGAGACCCCCAGTGTTAAGTTCCCAAGAAAGCTTGGTACTCATTTTATCGACTCAATGAAGGAATGAAAGGCTGGGTCAACCTTGCCCGGCCCGGGGTTTGAACCTCGGATCTGTGGTGGGGAAGCGCGCTGCACTAGACACTCAGCCACTGGGCTTCCCCAAGAAATAATAAACTAAATAATAAAGAAGAAAGTATAAACCCAAAAAACACAGTACAGTAATACTTCAACTTACGATACCCCGACTTATGCTAATTCGGAGTTACGCTCTTTTCAAATCTCGCAGAATTGGGGTTTTTTTTTATTTTTCGTCATTAAAACTCATGCAGAATTATTACTGCCAGAGATTAATGGAATTGCTAATTTGATTGAAGAAGTTGTCGATCTTGCCAGGCAAATAAATTCAGAAGCGGATAGTGATGATGTTCAAGAACTGCTGGATTCCTACAAACAGGAGCTGACAATGGATGAACTCATAGAAATGCATGAGTAAGAGCGAGACATTGAAGAACTTGAATCTGTAGACCCAGTTCAATCAGAAGATCGAATGACGGTTGGTGATTTGACAGGTCCCAGTTTAATCGAAAAAGAATTACAAATTTCAGAAAATATATACTTCAATGAAAAGCGTATCTTTTCAACAAAATAAGGAATAAAAAATTATTAGCTTGCTACAAGGAAATTCTACGGGAGAAAAAAAATCTTTGAACGGGCAGACAACTTGCCAGTTCTTACGACCACTTCTACATCAAAATAACTTCGGTTTGTGATTTTGTATTTGTGTTATCGAAGATTTTATTAAACAATTTTTTTTCTAAATTATTATTTTCTATTGTCTCCGGCCCCAACTAAAAACAATTTATAAATATTTAGATGCGAAATTATAC